TATTAAAACATTAGTGTAATTGTATATCAGGTGCTTAAACATGGCCAGATTGTTTGTCGATAGTATGTCCATGTGTTTGTCCCGGTAATGGTAATCAACATCGATAAGACTGGAGCTTAATTGTTGCACACGTTTAGCAAATCCTGGGAAATGTCGGTCCATTTCCTGATGGTTATCGGTTTTGGGATTACTTATTAGAAATATTATCGGAATTTTTAGTTGTTTCGCAATTTTCACATCAAATGTAACATTATTTTGTCGGTAATCGCTGTAAATGAGTACCAATTGATTAATCATTAACCCAATGCATATTAGATTAATCACTGGTTTGACCTTGTTGTATAGTCTTAAATACTTTCTACGCTTTCTATCGTAATGATTGCGATTGTAAATGACATTAGTGTTTACGATTCTGGCCCTATCTATGAATGTGCATACAATTGAATACACGCTAAATCCTAAAAACATTCCCAATAGACCGCCGATTGTCGATAAATACTCGGATAATTGTGTTTTAGGCAAAAAATGCCAATACATGCTTATAAACGAGTAATTGGGAACATAGATGTATTTAAATGGATAATTAGATTTACTAATTGTCGACACATCTGTTTCTGTCACCTTATAGTCGACCAAATAGTGATTGCATTCAATCCGGCATTTGTCAAATAGAAAGCGATAGTCGGGTAAAACATAACACGTGTTATTAAACACGCGTTTTGTGTCAAATAATAATTGACTAAAGTTTTGATACAACTGTATATTCCAGTAAAGATTGTGTCCGCAAGTGTTCAGCTCCTGTCGTTTCATCACATGTAACATACATTCGTGACGTGATTTGTGACCACTACTGCCGCCGGCCATGCGGTGCCGATCGTAGTCATAGCACCGGGTCTTATACGGTGCCGGCAGTAGACGCTCAAAACGTACGTCACTATCAAATTTGTAGATAACGTGATCGCCCGACAAATGACGAGTAGAGCCAAAGTGTGGTGAACTGAATATCGGGTGTATTACCGCTTTAACCTTGTGGGAGTTAATCACAAAAATATTGACCTCGTTACTTATATGATCAGGATCATTATTGGGCAGATAGTAGTTCATGTATGTCCGACAGATTGTTCCGTTGGGTTTATATGTAATATAAACGGGTATTACTGTATCGCAAGCGGCCGTAGATGTGTTGACCCATACGGAACACAACACCCGATTCATTGTCCAGAATTCAATGGCCGACCGATTCTTATGGTATGAATATTTTTGATTCAAGCAAACAGTGATCGACGACTTGTGATACCAGGTGTTGGTATACATCGCGTACTTCACATCATTGATCACTTCGTACTGTAAATAATTGATGGTTTGATCGCATATTTGATGCATAAATATAATTACAATAATGAGTTTGATTATGAATTTAATGTTACGCTTAAGTTTTTTACCCATTGTTTTTGAATTATTGTAGTTTTTATTAATTTTTTGAGTGAAATTGTCTTAACTATTGCTTTCTACCGACCAATATTTTGCAACATAAAGTAATTACTATTTATTATACAATGTTATTAAATGTAATTCATGTATTGTACATTTTTATTACTGTACTTTACTAGTAAAAATAATATTTATATTTCTTATTAAAAAATTCTTAATAATATAGGTTAATTTAATATTTATTGCTTAAATTAATAATTTATAAACTCAAAAGATTAATAACCGAATATTATATAAATAATTATTGGTTGCAATTTATTGTCACTTAAAATGTTTAATTTAATGTATAATAAATTAATTAATTGAAAAATGAAAATACAGTCTGTGTTCGATGTTGTGAACAGTGTGGACGAGATTGCAGTTGTTTTCAGTTTGATAAGCAGTAAAACATTATAATTAAATAACGATCACTTGTTGTATTAAATTGCATTTTACATTACATATATTATTTATTAAGTAATAATATTTATTATTATTATAAAAATGGCTTTATTTAATTAATATGTTGTAACATGTTGCAATAATAACTAATTACAACGTGGTTTCGGATTAATCTTAGTTTTCGGATTAATTACTTTTATTTTTAAATAAAATATTTATTACCATAGTTTAACAGCGAGGATAGAATCGGGCAAAGAATACATTGTAGATATAAATGTGCCAAATATATTAAGAATTATTATTTGTAATACTAAATAATATTTAAATTAAAATAAACTTACCTAATATTTATTTTTAAAAAAAATTTTTACGAAACGTTATGAATAGGATTGCAATTATAAATGAAATGTTTATTGCGATAAAACTTCATATCATATAAGTTATCAGTTAGCGTTGATTGCATGCCTTGATGAAATAATAAAATTAATTAATTAACAAAACAATTCTGTTTATTTCTCAAAATATAATATGAATTTATTAATTTAATATAAATAACAAATAAAATAATAAGAAATAATTAACATATTGTTATATCAAAAAATACTTCTAATTATTCTACATCAATGATAGAATTAGCTAATTTATCTAATATAAAATAATGTGAAGTAAATATCTAATAAAAACTGTAATTTAAATAAAAATTGTGGCAAATAGTTAACGACATTAATGTAAAGTGTGTTTCATATCATCTCGTATTGAAACGAGTAAAGCAAATGCCTTATCAGAACTCATGTGCGATAGAGTCGGTGCCCGTGTCTGTGGTCTGTGGGTCGTAGACACGGGCGCACACAACTGACTGGCATTTTGGCATCTCGTTTATACGAGTTAAGCAATTGATTAACTGCTAACCATGATCTACAACTCACCTAAAACTGGATAACAGACCTGTTATACCGTGCGCTAACTTGTCCATTGACCATTTGGTCATGGGCACCTAGGGCACATTTTATTAATCAAAAAACAGATGCACAACTGATTAACTGATCTATTGATTTGCAATGCATTTACAGAGTTTTAAAACCTAAAAACTTTAAATAAACAGTTTTTAATTAAAATTATCAACATTGTAAAAGTTACATTAAATTTTTAATGAGGTTATTGACATAATTTAATGTTTCTAATCTGTTATATAATTTAATGATAGTTTTGATTGTTTTTAAAAAAAAATTTCATTTTAACTTAAAATCTAATAATAATTAACAAATGATTGGTATCTCCGCGTCTGTATTGGCCGTCGCGTGGATTACAGCCCAACGACAGCTCATTCACGACAACACGTGTTCCCGAACTCAATGGCAAAGCAGTTATGACTTCATTGTTGTCGGCGCCGGAACTGCCGGTGCGGTTGTGGCCAACAAACT